TATTACGCCTAGAGGAAACATGATGTTTCCCAGAGGGAAGTGGATGTTTGGAGGGCAGGCAGGAGAAGGGACATAGTGAATTTATCTCAAAGTCTGCTATCTAGTAGATAATCTGGACGGACTGTCAAAGATCATTGGATCCTTGCAGCCAATTCTCATAATGGAGCGGGACTTACAGAGTCGTTTCCACGGATCTAGATGAGAGATTGTTGATTTTATACGAGGGTCAAGATTCTGGTTATGATATTGTTGGACTGATAAAATTAAATCAGCTTCACTTTGTCTATTTTGGAACTGGTAAGATATCAGTTCCTACGAATAGCACGGGTCACGAGACGGCTTAGATGGATAGATGTGGTGATTCACACTTTGCATTAAGCTTCATCTGGTAAAAGTAACAGGGAGGAGGATGATCTTATCAACTGATGTGGTAATTGAACCTTCGGTGGTTTTTGCGCAATCCGTTGTGGTTTAGCATGTGGAAATAATAACACTTGCTATTACCAGGGAAATAGAAGTGGTCAACTTAGAATATTGGAGCTGACCCCACAGGAGGTAGTATCTTACTCAGTTGAGTTTAGGGTACTGAAGGAGGATGAAAGGTTGGTCTTAATGATGTTCGAAAGGTGGGAGTGATTGAAATGTAAGATTAGTAAAATTTTACGGTACAATCAAATGGTGAGGAGTTGTAGCACGACATATCAGGTTCGTTTTGGTGAGCCAGTACGGATAGAGACATGAATATCACTGTCTTCAAGGGTATCATCAATTCTCATATTGAATGTAGCCACTTCTTATATCACCATGGAAGTAAGACTACACAGGAGTGGATGGTTGATAGGAAGTACCGACATTGGTTGGAATTTTACTCCCATCGAAATTAGGAGTCGTGGATCAAGCAAGTTTGATTGTAGACATCACTGTTGGTGGTGTTTGTTTTGGCATGTTATGTCAAGTTCCACATTGCATTGATAACGGAGTCGTAGTCTGTGGTTATCTCGTATAGGAGTTAAACACTGCTATGTCAATGGAGTTTTGAAGGTGTTGGAGCAACAACTATGCTTCGCATCTCTAGGCAGGAAATCGGATCGCGATATTATATGTGATCATGGCAAAACATTGTCTTTTGGAGGAAGGTCAGTTTCACGTATCGCACTGACTCTTCACGGATTTTGGTTATTGGTTTAGGCAGTAGCCTATTGTTTAGCGTTACCAACTTGTTAAGCGCTGGATGCATAGGAATTTTATAGGTTTGTTCTATGGAATTTGAAGGAATAGGGATTGTTACCCTTCACTAAATAGGGGTATGATTGGATTGTTGATAGATATAACCTAGGAGTTGTACATTTATGCTATATTTCTTTTACAGGGAAACTTAGTATATTGTTGGTTATGTTGGGAATTTGGTAGAGCTCATCTAAAAGAGGCTACACCACACGAAAACAAAAATGAATTTTAAAAAGACATTAATTCAGAGTTTTGTGAATTCCGAGGACGGAATTCCTTTTGTTAGGGGGGAAGAATGTAATACCCCTACTTTTCAAAAGGATAAAAAGGGAATTTAAATTAAATTTTGTTTTTATAGCATTTTGATTTAATTAGGTGACTTATGTGGTTTATTTGCTTAGTTGATTTAGTGTGAATTTATTTTAAATTAATTGGTTATTTGTTATTATGTATTTGTTTTATTTAATTAGATAATTGTAATTATTTGTTGGTTGGTTTTATTTAATTGTTTAATTATGATTAAATTTACTTCTTTGATTTATTGGTTTTAATGGACGTGTTTTTATCTGGAAGCTTAGGTGGATTATTTGTTTTAAACATGTGTGCTAGGGTTTTATTTTCATATAGTTTTGGGACGCCGACGTATATTAGGTTTTAATTAACAACTTATAGATATAAGTTTAAGCCGACTTAGGATGTGGGATGCATATATATATATATATATATATATATATATATATATTCTGAGACGTCTACTAGGGTTATGGGAAAACCCTATTCACGTGATAGGGTCTTGAGAGGAAAAACCAAAGAGTGGTCTGGAGAGGAAAACACAGAAAGAGAATCACAGAGTGTCTTGAGAGATTAATTAAAGGGGTTGCTTCGGGATGGAATTAAGAAGCAACAGTGGAATGAAACTGTGATCAGAGGAGAAACGGTCTTGGTGAATTCTGGAATTTAGCAATGGCGTTGAGAGGTTTCAAACCGGAATCTTAAGGCAAGTTTCATTCTCTCCATCCTGTAAAATTGTGTTATGTACATTCTGTATAGTCTCTAGGAATTAACTCAATTTTTAAAACTGATGTTTGATGCATGTTTGCCGGACTGTAAACTGATTAACGTATAAATAACTAAAGTTTGTTTTCCTTGCATAAACTGTTGGATTGTATATTAAACCTTTGTAAATTAATTTATGATGGATTGTAAGGAGTTGCTAGGATGGTTAGGAAGTTAATTAAACTTTCAAACGGAATTTTGATGCATGAGATCAAACTTAAAACTGGTTGTTTGTTCAGTTAACTGTGATTGGTGTTCTTGCATAAACTGCTCTGTTTCTGTTTAGATTTTTGGTCAAACAACTGGGAGTGGAATCAAAAGAGTTTCTAGGAGTATTAGGGCTTAAATTGAACTCTTAAAATCCTTAAAAAAAACTTAGGACAGACAGTTAGAATTATCACCGGAAACGAAGACGAAGAACAGAGGAAGCAGAGAGGGAAAACTGGAGGCTAGGTGAGTAGAGCTGGCTCCACAACAAGTAGAGGCGGCTCTACAAGAAGTAGAGCCGGCTCTAGAAGCTTAGGAGCTGGCTCCAAGGGTTTCCAGAGCCGGCTCCCTTGGTTGTTAACACCTACGGGTGTTTTCATGTGGATTTCTGGGTTTAAGGGGCTTGGATGTGATTTTGGGAAAATTGTGGGGGGTTTTAAAGGTTTAAAATTAATCTGTTTAAGCATGAAAACAGTTAGTATAAGCTACTATGCTAATCTTAAAAGGTTTATCATGAAAAATGAACATATGATTAGGCATACTGTTAAGGAGGGAGGAATGATCAAGCTGCTGATTTGTTTAGTAACTTAAACGAACTGTTACTGAATTGTTTGTAAGGCGTTATATGATTATATATATATAACTAAATGAAGGCTCAGGAAGTTGGTTTAGAATGTGTTAATAGACTTCATGAAATTTTAAATAACAATTTGCATGTCGTCACGGAATATGAAAGGGTTGTTGTTAGCGGCTGTTTTAGCAAAGTAAACGGACTAATAGGAGTGTGGTGATAGAATCTGAGTGTGTGTGCTCAGTTTATATATCTGAGTATCATTATATCATACTCCGGACTTACAATTGGGGATTAAATAGTCGCCATGAGAATTAAATATTAATTTGCATGCCGACAAGGATTGAGGAGGATTTAAATGCTAGTCTTCGTTTTAATAGTGTAAATGAACTAGTATGGATGTATTGGTTGAGAATTCTAGTATAATGTACAGTTTATAATTCTGATATCCATTATATTATGTTAGGGATGATAATTGCTAAACTGTCGTAATTTCTGTTCTGTCAATTATATGGAAATGGATGGTTTAAATTGTTTATCATTACATTAACAATTTATTTGGAGGATTAATGATTATAATCATATACTGGATGCATGATGGCTGGTTTTTGGATATATTTGATGTTTATTTGAATGTGCATCATCTGTGGATCATATGCATGTATGTACCGGTATGGGACGGTGACATACAGAGGGACGGATTAGGTCAAAACGCTAATTCCAACTCATTCATACATAAGGAATGGATTAACTAAAACAGTTAAATCCTACATGGATGCATGTCTTGTCAACTAAAACCATTGAACGACATAATGGATATTTGTTTTATCTTTCTGCACTATGAATGAATTTATATATATACTTATGGTACCGTGATACGAGGTTGAGTCTCCTGATCACGGTTAGGGTGCGTATATCGCAAAGGTTGGATAGCTAGATATAGCTGATGTTCCTTGGTAGGTCTGGGTACTTGGCCGCTGAAAAACGTGTTTTTATGTCACCTCCTACCCAGGCTGAACTATGTTATAAGCTAGTGAGCATCCTGTAGTGTGTGTATATATATATATGGACTATTTTAAATATTGCCGAGCTATCTAGGATGTATCTGCGTATCGGGTTTATGTACGGATTGTAGTAGGATGGAACTTGCATGTGGGCTTGACCCATCTTTATTTTTCAAGTGTTCGTGAGTACCAGGCTTAGGGCTTGATCGTGGTGGTGTAGATACAGTCACTCATTCTTCCGACTACATAGGATTTCTTTTCTTATTTTAGTTTTGAATACTTATTCTATAAATTTATTTATCAGTTGGAATTATTAGGGGTCCACTGGATGGATTCCCAAGTTGTATGGATTTGAAGGATTTAAATTGTTTGTTGTACTATTTCTTAAGGGCACTATTCTTCAACCAAACATATATATTTGCAAATAATTCAATTTGGTAAATTAATTTTTTTAAAATTAAATAATACAGTATCCATTATGGGTTGATGTATTTATTATGGAGGTGAAAAAAGAAAGGCACAAAAAAGAAAATTCATTTTTAAGGAAAAACCAAAAAAGAAATTTAAAATTAACCTTTTTTTGGGAAAGATTTTTTTGAAACAAGAAAAACCATTTTAAGCACGGTTTGTATCAATCAAACAATTAGTATTTATTTTTAGTCAAGTGCAGAAAAAAAAAAATAATAATAAATAAATAAATAAATTTTGTATTTGAGCAACGGATTGGCCAGACGCGCCCTTAGAGTCCAGATGGCAAGTCCAAAATATCGAGCCCACTCTTCGCCAGCCCGTTGGAGGGTCTGGATAAATTACGACGAGACTTCTTCAATTTTGTATAAGTTGAACATTTTTTTGAATAATAATATATTTTAATATTATTATTATTATTATATATTTATTTATTTTGAATAAAGAAAGTTTGACTCCCAAGTCTCCATCCAGACTGTTCTGAATTCTCTCTGCTGGATGAATAAGAGAGTTCTCTATTGTCTCCTACGTAGAGGTAGAGAGAGAGAGAGAGAGTGATGGGTTCTTCGTCGCCTCAGCGTTCTCGTGGTGGTGGTAACAGTAGCAGCAATCGCGACGATAAAAATGAAAGACCAAGGTTTTTCGACTCCAAGGCGAAGAGAAGTTGCTGGTCCGAAGCGAAGATAGTCCCAGGTCGACACCCGGAGAGGTGGCGCTTCGACGCCGCCGGCAACATCGTCTGCAAGCGCTTATGCAACTGCCTGGGCTGCCTCTGCTTCGAGTACGACCACATTATCCCTTACTCCAAAGGTCCTCTCTCTCTCTCTCTCTCTCGAATCATTTACATTTTTTGGGCATTTTGATTGTAAGCGTTGATCTCAAAATGGGTTTCTTTGAATTTATGGTTTTGTGACTGGAAATTAAGTTGGTTTGTTCTATATGTTGTTGATATGATTGATGAATTGGGTTTATAAGGTTTTGCTTTTGTGTAAATTATGCTTTTAATTTGAAATTTGGGGTTTGTTGGTATTGGGTTTCTTGAGAATATAGTTTGTTTTTTTTAATAGGTGGTGAATCCGTAGCAGAGAATTGTCAGATTCTGCAAACCAGGGTGAACAGGTATAAATCAGACAAAGAACAGGTGGAATCTACACAATTGCAAGGTTACTCATGTGATGTCAAATTCACTGGTATGTTTCCGCTCATACTGATTTCTGTATCTATTGTGTAATTTTAATCTGCCTAGAATGTAGGGTATCTGAAATCAACATAATTCAAGAACATGCTTATGTTGAATTGAATGTATTGCTTAGAATTGGGTATTTCAAAGGTAATTTGAATTAACTGATTAGTAAAATATATGTTTAGATTTTTGTATATTGTGGTTTCTGCAATAGTTATCTTGTTAGTTACTCTCTCTCTCTCCCTCTCTCTTGGGGGGACTGCCGGAGAAATGATCAACACTTCTATGAAGTGCCCCTAAAGTTAGGACAGGTGTTGTTTGTATTCTTTGGTCACATTTAAGATGAGATTTGAGCTACTAGTTTCACTTACTCTATGCATCGCAGACCAAAAATGCTAAAGTTGAATAATGGGGTTAAAGTTCACATACCCTTCTAATGAATTATCAAAACACACAACCTTTTTGAGAAGAGCACTCGGAGCATTTATGAGGCCTTACCACTTCAAATGTTCTGAGATATTTTCATGATTATTATTATTAATATTATTATCATTTTGTATGCATATAACTTGAGACATACTTCATTTTGTATGCATTCATTTTGTATGCATATAACTTTTCTTAATACTGTCTCCCATTTTCTGACAATAGATGTCAAGTTATGTTGTGATACGAAATTTAGGTGATTCACAGATTCAACAAGTATAGGCAATAATTGAACACTTAGTAACCACCTGTCTTGATCGTATCAATTGATAAAGCAGTGGTATTTAATAGTTTGGTAGCAACTGATGTAAAATGGTTTTGTGCCACAATTTGATAGTGCTGTACAACAGAGTGTGCTCTCCCATTGATGGGAGGGTTGGTAATTAAATATTTGAGGGTGTTCAATCGTGTTTTACTTAAAAGTAGTTGTCGTAGAGGTTTGCTTTGAAAGGGAGACCCTTTGGTGAAGAGGGGTGACAGGGAATTATGTGTGTTCTTGGGGAGACTAGGTTTTGTGGTTAATGGGGTTGTGTCATGGGGTGGGCTTTTGGAAGGTTATCATGAAGGGCTGAGGAGTATTATTCCCTTTGTTTGCTTTATGGTCTGTAATGGAACTAACATTAGATTATGTCATGACTTATAATTTTGGGGGTGGCCTTGAAGAATGCATTCCTCATACCTTTTCCGGTTTACAGTTGATAAGGATGCTTTGGTAGCAAAGTTGGCCTCTGTTCTGGAGAATGGAAAGATATGGTGTTTGTGAGTCAAAAGGTCCTTTGGATTCAAGGATAGCTTTGCTTGATTTGCTTCAAGCGTCCCATGCTAGTGGAGAGGCAGGGGATGTGATCTGTTGAAGTTAAACTAAGGGAGGAAGCTTTAGCGTGCAATCATTCTATGAAGCTTTATCCACAAGAAGGATGATAGATTTTTAGTGGAGTGTATGATGAACGAAGGCATCCTTGAAGGTGACCTATTGTATGCATATAACGGTTCTTAATGCTGTGCCCCATTTTGTGTCAGGAATATAAACATCTTGGCATTGGGTTTAATGCCATTCTGATTCACATTAGGTTTGGCAATGCATGTTACTACCACCAGGTATAGATGTAAAGTTGTTTCCTGAAAAGAAATTTAGGAAATTCACAGATTCGATAAGTATAGACAACAATTGAACACTTAGTGACCTCAATTTGATAGTGCTGTTCAGCAGAGTGTGCTCTACCAAGGGAGACCTTTGGTCAAGAGGGGTGGCAGAGAACTCTGTGTGTTCTTGGAGAGACTAGGTTTTGTGGGTAATGGGGTTGTGTCATGGGGTGGGCTTTTGGAAGATTATCATGAAGGACTGAGGAGAGTTCTTCCCTTTGATTGCTTTATGGTGTGGAATGGAACTGACGTTAGATTATGTCATGACTTATATTTCGGGAGGTGGCCTTGGAGAATGCATTTGTTGGACTTTTTCCGGATTACCATTGATAAGGATGCTTTGGTTTCAAAGTTGGTCTCCTTTTTGGAGAATGGGAAGATATGGTGTGTTGGAGTCAAGAGATCCTTTGGATTCAATGATAGCTTTGCTTGATTTGCTTCAGGGATCCCACGCTATTGGAGCATATGATCTACCAAGGCATCCTTGAAGGTGGCCTTTTTACTTGATCAACAGTCTCAGATGCTATTCTTACAATTGACAATCTGATGATGGGTTTGTCATCCATTGGATGACAAATATGTGTTGATTGTGTTCTATGTTCAAAACTGAAGAGAGGACCATTAGTGACCTTTTGTTACATTGTATTGTGGGTGGGAGTTGTGGGAGTTGTGGGACTTGATGTCTCATTTCTGATTGTAGATTATGCAAGGGGCAATGTTGAACTTGACGAGGTGTTGGAGAGGTAGGTGCACAAAGGGTGAGAGTAGGGCAATCAGAAAATCCCAGATGCATTTGCAGATACGAAAAAAGGCCTATGGGGATTGAATATAACCCATTTGCTCTTTTAATTGATATTAATTTTTTAATGTTTTTTTTTATTCAAATAACCTATAATGTAATCAATCAAACACGTAATAAATATAATAAAGAGCTCGTAAGGAGACAACCAGATTTATATCCCAGAAACCTAAATTGTCTAGTTCCCACATAAGTGTATACCCAACATTACATGCTTTATGAAATACATAATCTTCTTTTACAATAATTGACCATTTAAATGTTACAATTTATCACTAGGACTGTCAAAAACTTTACCAAAAATTGAATAATTATTAATAAGCAGCTTTCGTTCATAATTAACAATAATGAAATATCTCATGGTTTAACAATAATAACGTGCTAAACTACTATCCCTCTTATGTTATTTGTTACCTTGTTAATCCTTTTTCATTAGTAACTAAGAAGTACATACACTTCTTCGAAAGTGTCATGTCCGACATCGACACATCTGGACACGTGTCCAACACTTCATGGCCGTGTCTATAATTTAAAAATAATATTTATTATTTCGGACGCTTGACCGATACATCTTGGACACTTGGTCAACACGTTTCGGATACTCGACCAACACATCCTGTACTGTTTATTTTATATAAAACAAACACATAACAGTCTTGAAAACAACATGTTGAAAAAATATCAAAGTATCCAACCTTTTTTTCTTTAAAAAATTGACATTTAACACGTCACAACATGTAATGAGCAAAAACATAATCGTAATGACAAGATAGGAGAGTAATATCATATATATGATATTTTCTTTTTTAATCTTTGAATACCTTCATCTTCTAACTTATGTAACTTTAGTATAGAAATTATAAATTAATTAATGTTCTATAATTGTCTTATTCTAGATTTATAAATGAATATTTATATTTATATTAGCCATGTCCATGCTGTGTCTGTGTCCCTTTTTAGAATATGACGTATCAGCGTATCCATGTCGCTCGTGTCCCGTGCGAGTGTCCATGCTTCTTAGATTAGTAACTTATCATGGACCATACCTAACTCATGAGAACGTTCTGGCTACTCATAAAGCCACAAAAATATATCGTACGTAATGCTCTAAACAACCATGTGTAAAGATCATATTGAACTCACCATTACATTAACTTTAGTGTCTAAGGCCCAAATATCGGGCATGAAATGGATCTGATTTAACCTGATATTAGGGGTGGCAATTCATGTTGGCATGTCGTGTCAGGATATGGTATCTTGTTAAATGGGTCGACAAGAACACGACACATTTATTATTCGCGTTAAGAAACCTTGACACAAACACAGCACAATTATTACACTGTAACATGACATGACATGCAACTTAATAAAAAGGACAAGACCTGACTCGACTTGACTCCACACGACACGACAAGACACGTTTAAGTCATTTCTAACATGAACACGACATGTTAATGTGACACATCTAGTTAAATGGGTTATTTTTAACATGAACACGACACGCTTAGTTAATCGGGTTATAAACGGGTTGACAAGTCAAACACGAACACAATACGTTTAATTACCGTGTCAATTCGGGTTAACATGATTATAATCCAAACACGATTAAGCCAAACCCAGACCTACTTATTTCGAGTCGTGTCAAGTATTGCCACCCCTACTTAAGATCCAATTTGATCTTAATTCCATCTTATCGGGTTTGGATTTTAATTTTGAATTCGAATTTCAAATATTGAATATGGATCTTCTTTAAATATCTGTCGCTACTTAAGGTTGGATTTGGATATGTGTAGGCCAGAAATGGATTGTGGTTTACCCAAAAATCCGAACCTCGTCGAGCCAATTATTATATTAGGAACTGTTTGTATTATATGGATTAGATATGGAACATATTCATAGATTTGAGGATCTAATTGTAAATTCTGACATTAAAGTATGTATATGGGCTTGGATTTGCATAGATGTACTCTATTTGTTGCATTTCATGCCCTACCCAAATATCATACAAAACTTACCCCAAGGACTGAAGGATGTATGAACTGGATCGTACGTGAACTCACCAATAGACACTCCATTGGTTGAGATTATACCTAATTCACTAAGGAGAACAACTGCACTATATCATGGCTCATGCATGCTCAGCTAGAAATAAGGGGCACCCTTAGTTCAACTCGAGCTTTGTGGCTAACTCTCTAAGCTATATATACTAACAAACGCATTTCCGTGACTAAGTATGCTTTAGTCATGAAATATGACGTCTACGCTAACAAAATCCTATCCTGATGGTGGATAATGGCGCTTTTATCCTTTCTAGGTAGCTGATAAACCAATGAAAAGACACTGTACTACTGATCAAGTATCCCTTTAGTTTTGTTATGATTGTGAACAAAGCCAACACAACCAAATACTCGTGGAGAGAGATGATATGAGTTGAGACATGTCCTTCAGGTAGCTCAAGAGGAATTCTAGTAGTATCATGAGTCTCAAGGGCACACTGTTAATTAGAAAAGCTCCAGTAGGAGCGACATTACCCCATAAAGATTTAGGAACACTTATGGTAAACAATAATGCAAAATATATCCAGCCATGAAAGTATATTTGTAGGAGGTGACTTTACTGGTAATGTAGGAGTGCAACGAATAGGGTACGCACGACTTTATGGAGGATATGGTTATGGAGAAAGAAATGAGACACTCTTAAAATCTTCAAAAGCTTATGATCTAGTGATAAATCTTACACTATTTTATTTTATTTTATTTTATTTTATTTTTTTAATAAGAAGGGCATTTAGTAACAATGTAACATTCAAGAGTGGAATGAATAAGACACAAATAGACTCTTTTTTGTATAGAAGAGGGGAATGGAATACATGTAAAAATGTAAAGTAATTTCCAGGAAAAGTCTCGCTAACCACTACTTTTATTGGATTTGCCAATTGAAGGGTTAGGTTTCAAAAGGGAAGAAAAGCAGCTCAAATTATAAAATGGAAAGATTTGAAAGACGAGAACGAGATAAAATTCAAAGAAAGATATTACAAGAAAATCAATGGAATTGGAATGATGACATAATTAGTCTTTGGTCAGAAGTAACAAATTGTATAAGGACGGTGGCTAAGACAACTTTGGGAGAATCAAAGGTAAAAAATTTATTTACAAAAAGAGATGGTTTAGCGATGAAATACAACAAGCTATAAAAAATAAAAGAACAAGAAGAATGACAAAAAAGTTGGAAACAAGAGGATCTAGAGAAATACAAAAAACTTAAAATCAAAGCTAAGCTAAAGGTAATTGATGATCATATGAGAAATTATGCAAATAAAAGGGTGAAGAGGCTATTTACTAGTTAGTGAAAAATAAAGGAAGGTGCAAGGAATTGTTTGCACCCAAGATGATTCGTAGTTAGGTGTGTTAAGGGTATAGATCAAACAATATTAGTTAAGATATTGTCATATAAAAAAGATGAAAAAGTTACTTTTAGCAATTACTAAATGAGAAATATATACTAAAGAAGAACTTTTAAGTAACAAACCTTACACAGGAATTATAAAAAAATTACTACTAGTGAAGTAGAAGAAACACTTGACAAGATGAGTAAAAATAAAGAAATAGGACTTAATAACATATCTATATGGCTATAAAGAATTAAGAGAAATATGGGAATTAGAAGAGCACCCTCTCAAACCTTCTAACCTATTTCATGTCTCTTCCCGATGCCAAAGGTTGTAGAAGATTAGATGACTTGTGGGGAGGCATTGATGATGAGTTCAAGTACCATTTGGTGAATTGGGAGAAGGTGTGCTCCCCTACTCTAAACAGGGGTTTGGGTATTCAGAGACTGGATTTGTTTAGCAAGGCGTTGTTGGGCAAATGGCTTTGGAGATTTGGGAGTGAGAGGCAACACTTATGGAGCAGAGTTACTACTTGTCGGTATGGGGAGAGGGATGGTGGATGATTGTCTAGGGATGTGAGAGCTCCAGCAGGTATGGGCACTTGGAAGCTTATTTGGAAGGGGTGGGATGAGTTCTCCAAACATATACGGTTCAAGGTTCAGAGTGGGAGTCACATCCAATTTTGGGAGGATCGTTGGTGTGGGGACATTGTTTTGGCTCGTAGGTTCCCTCGACTGTTTAGGATCTCTTTGACGAGACCTGCTCTAGTTGTCGATTGTTATCGGCTTGATAGCGGAAGATTAACTTGGGATGTGCATTTTCGTAGAGAGTTTCATGATTGGGAGCTCACGGAGATTGCTAAGTTCTTAGCCTTGCTTTATAGCCAGGTGGTGGAGGGGACGGAGATGGATGAGATGGTGTGGGTGGGCACCCCGAGAGGGGTGCTTGAGGTTAGAGCATTTTATCGCAACCTTTCGGAGATCCTTGGTCCTTCCGTCCCATGGAAGGCGATTTGGAGGTCGAAAGCTCCCTTGAAGGTGGCTTTCTTTGTGTGGTGTGTTGCTCACGGAAGCATTCTTACCCTTGATAATCTCAAGAGGAGACGACAGTTAGTGGTTAACTGTTGTTGTATATGTAAGAAGACGGAGGAAACTGTTAATCACTTGCTTCTGCATTGTCTAGTGGCGAGAAACATTTGAGCTATGTTTCTAATTGTGTTTAGCATGTCTTGGGTGTTCCCAAGATCCATAGTGGATTTGATTGAGGCTCGGAGAGGGAGTCTAGTGGAGAACTGAGCCAAGGATGTTTGGAGTGTCACTCTCTTTGTTTATGGTGGTGTCTGTGGTGCGAGAGGAATAGGAGATCCTTCGAGGGAAAGGAGTCTCCTATTTGGGTTCTCAAATACAATATTTTGTATACTTTAATCTTTTGGGTTTATGGGCGGAATTGTAATTCCTTGGGGCATCTTTTGGATTTTGTGGATAGCTTAAAGCTATAGTTGTCGCCTTTGGCATCTTGTATATTCTTCTGGGAGCGCTCCCCTCTTGAGCGCATGGATTTATACTAGGTAGATCCGCTATTGAGGTCATTTATTTAATAAAGACAATTAATAAAAGAGTGTAGAAGTTTTTTTTAAAAAAAACAGGGGATCTACAAATGGTTTTTATAAATTTAGAGAAGAGAAGACACCTGATAGAGTGCCGAGGGCTGTAATTTGGTGTGCTCTACAAAAAACTAGCCCTAAAAAAAGTGAATCTTATTTAGGATATGTATAGCGGATAAGGATTATAGTTCGGACTACATGTGGAAAGACTAGTGATATCTATATAAAAGTAAGAGTACATCAAGTTTCAGTGTTAAGTTAATATTTACTTATTACAGTAGTTTTTGATGAAATAATGAAGGATATCCAAGAAGATACTCCACTGTGCATTTTTTTGCTGATGACATAATTCTACTGCATGGATTGACTGAGGCTATGACCTTAAATAGAGCGGAATGGAAACATAGGATACATGTAGGTGACCCCAAGTTGTTGGAGAAAAAGGCTTGGTTATTAATGTTGTTGTAGTATAATTCTATTGCATGTTTCTAAAGAAAGTTTAGCAATAAAATTAGAAACACGCGGAAATGTGTTAGAAGCAAAATGCCTTAATGTTAGTATGACTAAAACAAAATACATGACATGTAAGTTAAATAAATAAAAAATGTAGAGGATGCCAATATAATTATCACAATTCAAAACTTATGGGTCGCTAAAAATAGTCATTTTTTACTTTAAGGGTCCTAAATACAGCAAGATGGCTGGATTGATGACGATATAATATGTAGGACTGGAGTAGCGTGCACGAAATGGAAACAAGATAGTGATGTTCTATGTGACAAATAAATACTGAGTAAGTTTAAATCTTTCCAAACATTTAACTCATCAAAAAAAAAAAAAAAAAGAGTTTAAAGGAAAATATAGGATGGTTATTAGGCCAACTATAGTATATGGAGCAGGAGGTTAGGTGTTAAAAAGGAAATCAGAAGAATGAATTTGTGTAGCTGAAATGAAATCGTAAGATGAATGTTATGAGTGATTATGAAAGATAAAATTAATAATCAACATGTGAGGGAAAACTAGGAGTGACACCTATTAGAGATAAAATAAAAGAAAATAGACTTAGCAGTATGGACATATACAATAGAGACCTAAGGATGCACCAGTTAAAAAAGGGAGATTTATTTGTATAGAAGTTAAGAGACAAAGATGACTTAAATATAATTACAAAGGTGATGATGATGATGATAAGAATGGAAAAAGAGAATTCAAGTGAATAAGAATTAAATATAATAGGAGACATAACTTGTAATGGAAAAGAATGGAAAAAAGAGAATGCCTACACCATTTAATATGAGATAAAGGCAAAGATGATGATGAGGGAGTTAAGTGCAAAAAGTTGGAAGTTTATGATTTATTTCTTTCTCTTTCTTTTTTTTTTTCTTTTTCTTTTTTTCTTTTTTTTTCTTTTTTTTTTTTTTTTTTGCAACTTGCCCTATTTTACTTTTCAAGTACTTGGACAAAGGCATCTCAGTCAAATTTCAAATGCCATAACTTGATTTGGCCTTTTTACGCTTCTCATGCAAACATCTGAGTAGAAGGATATTTTTGTGCATTCAACATTTTTTACACCTCACAAGGGCATTATTTAGATTTCCGACTAAAGAAAATTTTTGGTTTCTTCAGAAGAAGTTGATGTTTAAAGATAGAGATCTGCACACCCTAGTTCTTGAAGACAGAAGAATGTGATGAGACCCTAGTGGCAGTGGCTTTTTTACTGGAGTAACATTTAAACATTAAAAGTGTTTAAACTGCTGTCCAAAGTTAGACCCAAATCTTTAGGCCTACGTTGAGTTTCTTTCGCTGAAGCCAGATAGCTTGTTCCCATTCCCCCATCCCAGATTGCTTTATTCACTTGAAATACTACTTTATATGGACAGGTTTCAATATCTTTGAATTTGTAACATTTGTTTTAAGTGGTGGTGTATCGTCTATTAACTTCCATTTCTCCAATTTGCAGAGAAGGAGCTTGATATAATTGAAATGGCTGTCTATGGGGACGTAATCCGGCCAGGAAATCAATGTCGATGCAGGACTGTTGCCGAAATGCTCGGCAAATTCAAATCCAAAGACCGTGTCGATGCTTGCAAGTTGCCATACAGCGAGTAGGCAAGGGTTGGACAAATGCATCGTGATTTACCTCCTCCTCATTCACATTGGTTTAATTTAGTTTGATTTCCGTGTACCTTCTGGCCCATTGTCAGAATGGTTTGAAATGGAAAAAATGCCCTAGAGTAGAATTGTTGTTGTGGAGTTGGGCTTCATACCATTTCTTAAAACTTGTAGTGAGATAAAGTAGAAGAGACGCAGATATTAGTTTATTTCAGTCAATTGAGCATTTAGTGCTCAACAAAATGTATTTTAGCTGCAATCAAAAACTTACCTTGGTTAATTTTACTTCACTGGACTGATTCATTTTTTTTTTTTTTTTTGTTCCATAATTGTGGACTGAATCATTAAAGCTTATTAGTTGCAATTTAATAGATGTACAGATGGCCGAGAACCCTGATATATATATATATAAAGGCTTGGTGGATTAAGCTACAAAACCTCTTCAATGTCAGATCCTTAGCATTGACAAACAATTATTCTTCTTTTGTTTTTATAACTTCAAACTCTGTCTGGTGTGATACATGCATCTAGAAATCATATTATAGTTATTATTTTTCTTCTGGTCTATGGGAGATGGATATTGCTGTCTGCCAACAGAGGAAGGATTAAAAACTCAAGTTGGGAAAAAAAAATTTAATTTCGGTTTGTAAAATGGAAACCATATAGGGGTGGTGGCAATTTGTGTTTACGGGTCGTAATCTAATCATATCGACCTAAGGGTATTTTACTAAATAACTCAACTTGAATCCGACCTTTTTAATAATCGTGTCATAAATCTTCAACATTAACCCGACCTATTTATTAAACAAGTTAGACATGTAACCCATTTAATAAAATGAAACATTATATTATTTAATTATTAATAATACTCAGTCAAACAATAAATACTAGAAAAGTATAAGTTTCAATCCAACCAGATTACTAAATAATCTTTAATTTACAATATATATATATATATATATATATATATATATATATAAGATACAAGTTTAGATAATTAGTTTGGAACTTAAACAGAAATTTGTTTATGACATGTATAGTTAAACGGGTTACACGAGTTGAAACTCTCAATATAAGCATGACACTATCAAGGGCGGATTCCAGATTTTTGTTGGGGGTGGGCTAATATTAAACATAAATTTAATAACAAAATTTCTTAAGCCAAAAAAATATAAAAAATTATAACATAATATAGATAAATATTTGAATTCAAATATTACAAAATATATATCTAAGTTGTGTTCGCGAAGTCTTTAAAGGCTCGAATTCGTCAATAATAGACTCCAAGTCAAGTTTCCAAACAAGATCCCGTTCAAAGTTGATGGTCATGCACTCAGCCAAAGGCGGCTCAATACAATTTGAGGCCTTAGGCGAAAAAAATAAAGTAGCCTTTTAATTAAATATATCTATATAGTTATGCCAGCTAATTATTTGTTTAGTGATTTTTAAACCTATTACTAAAAATTTTCCAAACTCTAATTCCATCATTAATTAATTGACTATGTACTTTCTAATAATCATATTTAACAATACAAATAAAATTTATATTTTTATGATAACAAAAACTAATAAAACTATAAACTAATTTAAGTTATAAAATAATAAAAATTGATTTCGAATAATTTGGTCTAATCCTCCAATAAATTCTTTAATAGAATATAAGTGTATTCAAAGTTTTCTTCCGGAGTGAGATTGTAAATTATAATCGTGGAGAATATGAAAAAACAAAATTTATAATGAGAGAGGAGAAAAAATATGAGAGGATTAAGAAAAAAAAGAGAAAATAAAAATTAATAGAAGTCTTTGAAAAATATAGAAAGTTTCACCAATTTTTTCTTAAATATATATTTAATATTCAATTTTAATGTGTGTATATATATGCTGAGGTAATGAGACGAAAAAAAAAAAAAAGGTAATAGAAATATTTTGCACACTATTAAATTTTGTATTTGTTGAGGTTTAATGATATAAGAAAATAAAATATTTAGGTAAGTCATAATATATAAAGAAAAAAAAATTTGGGGCCCTCAAAAAAATAAAGAATAGAAATTTTTTAAGTCAATTGTCAAATTTTTGTATACGGTGAAGTTTAATAATTAAAGGAAATACTATAATTGTGTTTAGGAAAGTTATAATATATAAAGAAATAAAAAATTATATGGCCTTCTTATTGGCTGGGGCCTTAGACAACTGCCTAACTCGCCTAAGACTCAAGTCGGTACAAGAAATTCATCTCAAATCCTGCCACGTTTCATGCTTGGGTGGGAGGCTGTGGTGAGCTAATACTATTATTATTATTATTATTATTTTGGACTGTGCTAATATATATATATATATTTTAGGGTGGGCTACAGCCCACTTTTGCCCACTCCTTTGTTCATCTTTAAACACTATTAACTAAACAGGTTAATCGTGTCGATCCATTTATAATTTGATCCTATTTAAGATCAATCCAAATTTATTTAACTCATATTTTCAATTCGTGTCATACTTTGAGACCCCTAAAATCATAATAGTAACATAGTAATATGATAAAAGCAATTGAAAAAACCAAGTCTTATAAGAAAAGAAAAGAAAAAATTGAAAAACCCGAGTTGGAAACATAACTTGTGTTGGCAAATTTGGATTTGTCAAAGTATTTTATTGACCAAAATCATTGAGTTGCAAGGAAGTCAAGTGATACCTAAAAAATATAGATATAATAATAGGGTTAAATTTGGTATAGAGGGTAGCTAATGATTTGCATTAATTAATTTCATCCATGGACAAGCACTACTTAATTTTGTATAAAAGTTAATAATGTGCATGCTCCACCCACTCATCAACCAAAATGATTACACGAATGTCAATTTTGCATGATCACCATATATATTTACAGAATAACCACTCATACCATTCCTGCATTGCATATATATATATATATATATTTAAATTTTTAAGTGTTAAAATTTTCAAGTGATCATAACAAATTAAGATTTTTTATATTTATAAATTTTTAAGTGCGCGTTAAATATACTTAATTAGGTGAACACTTATTATTAAAATAGAATAATCAAAAGAATGAAGAGTCCGAAAAAAATCGGGTATCTGCATAGAGAAACTATTTTTAATTTTAAAATTGTGACATTTAAGATACAATAAATCAACCATAATGCTTGTTTTTATTTTTTGTTTTTTTTTTCTCTTTTTTATTTTATGAGGCAGATTAATGGTTTCACCCAACCACGTACAGAACTAAAAGTTGCATCTTAAAATTGCACATTTAGTTTTGATGAGTGAAGTAGCTGGACAATGATGGGGTTAGTCACACCACTTGACCTACCTTTGACCTACCCACCCTCTTTCTCTCTATTTAAATAATATATACTATTTATGTAATGAATATGATTGATGTCTTTTTATGGTAGTACTTAAATTTGCACTGTTGGTTTTGTTAGGAATTAAAAATCTTCAATTAAAAGTAGCTTTTTGACGGTCCCAATTGTTCTCTTTAGGGTCAGCACCAAAGAAAAGGACTGCAGGCAACCAGTCTGCTTGTCTTCTTCTACTTTTCAAAGTCAAGGTATATTTCTTGCTTTTTTTGTTCTTTTGAAACTCTGTTTTAATATATAGGAGGAAAAAAAAAGAAAAATATTAGTTATGAATTAAGTTGCATAAAGTGACAGTGGGAGCGAATTAAAGCTAGAAGCGTGAGAATAACATAATTAAATTATAAATAATAAAAATTTGAGTCAAAACATGCGCAAAGCGTGAGCGCTCTCAAAGCATGAAAGCAAAGATTATGTGACTTAAATTATAAAAGAATATATATATATATACACACACACAGAGAAAAAAAAAGAAAAGAATAATATTAAAACAGAGAAATGAAATAAAAAAGATAACAATCAAATTACGATCATATCTTTTTTATTAGTTGGGACATAAGTGGAATGATAATTTTTACTTTCTAATTATTAAAAACAATTTTAAAATTATAAAATATTAGTTAACCCACTATCATTTCTTTGCCGATCTTCTCATTTTTTAAAGGTATGGTTTGTCATCCCTCCTTATCCCTCACAATCATTTCCTTTCTCATTTTAAGTATTTATTTATCAATCCTAACGATATCTTTTCTAACTTCTAAAAGGGACAGTGAAAGTTCATGTATCAAGATAAATGGGCGCATGAGCTTCTTGTCAATATATATATATATATATATTGTGTGTGTGTGTGCGGGGAAAAAAAAAAAAAAAAAGAATCAATATTGTGTGTGTGCGCGCGCGCATTCATCACATTTATTTTAAAATTTCATCACACTTTCAAAGTGAAATTCACCATTTAAAATTTTGAATTAAAAAAAAAAAAATAAATGAAGTTTATGGTAGTAAATTTCATTAAAATGCTAAAATTCATTATTAAAACTTTTTAAATTTTAAAAGGATGTGGTGGTGAAATTGACAGTGAAAAGTGTGATAAAAATTGAAAGAGGTGAAATAATTATGGTTTTGACATATTATATACACATTTTTCTAGTGATTAAGTCATGTACCTCATGGGAAGCAGCAATGATGATTTAATGTAGGAGTTGGAGTTAGTGGTAGAACACATCTCACATGCCAAATTGCCAATTCCTAAAAGAACCTTTTATATTCATATCTACCTAAAAGTGGAACAACTCCTAAAAGAGAAGAGAACCCTAAGTTCACACAAAGAATCTTCACACACACACACACACACACACACACACACACACACATATAGTGTTGATTTTTTCATACTTCGACACTGCTGGATGCAATTTTGGGCTTGCTATTCCCACTCACTATTTTCAAAGTTTTGACTTCTGCTTTCTAAGACACATTGACAAATATAAGTTGAGGTCCACATAATTTTGTGGTTACATCCTAATTTAATGGAGTATATATATATATATATCTATTGATTTCACTTTCATGTTAGAGTGATGAACACTTTTAAATTCGTTGTTTTCTTATTCAGCCATGTCACTCGCACTGTGCGAGGAAGTATGATAATGTATGACACGAATACGGTATTATAAATATAAAAAAAAAATCATGAAAGATAATTTAAAAAATATTAATATAATATTATTTTTATAATAAATAATTTTGGCTCATTTTATCCTCAATATTATAAATGAAATTACTAATTTAGATTTTAGAGAACTAGATGTTTATTTCTAAAATTTTATACTATTTTTAATTAGCTCATAATATATTTTAAAATTACATTATAACCACATATTTTTTAAAAAAGTAATTGCAAAATTACTAAACATGTCGCT